GATTTTGTTGACGTGTAAAGTCTATGATCAAAAATGATGAGGAGGAAAAAATTTTTTTACACTTCATTTGTATACACTAACTTTTTCAAATTATACATCTTGTCCCTGTACTTTTGTTAAATAGTAGAATTAGTCTTTTACCTTAATTTGTGTTCAAATTTGATTCATATACATTAATTAATTATCGAATTTAAGATTTCACCTAAAATAACACATAAAAAACATAAATTATTAATTCGATTGTAACATTTTTCATATTTAGATAAATTTTTTTGAATATTTGAATTATTAATTGGACTTAATTTGACAAATTAGGTTAATTTCAAATTAGATTATAAACCCAACATAAACTAAATTATATCTTTTATCTTTTATTTATTTATTTTGATTTATTTTTTCATTTTTGTTAATTTCTATTTTCAATATTTTTTAAATATAAAAAATAAAAAATAGATAAAAAAATTTTTAAAAAAACTTTAAGAAATGATAGAAATATAGAAGTTAGATCAAGAAATCCATAATCAACAAACCCAATAAACTTAGATATACAATTAATAATAAAAGCAATTGTAAACATCTTATTTTGTTTGAAAATTTTTTCGATATTAAATAGATCTCGAATTTCATCTCGACATTAAGTTATAAAATCGATTTTCGATCAATTGGGTTTTAATTGTGAAATTGGATTTTAAGCCCAAATTCAAAGGCCTAAAAGTATTTTATTTATTATTTATTATTTTATTTATTTATTTTATTATTTAGTTGGTGAAAGTCAATAAGTCAAAATTAGAAAAAGTAAAAAAAAAAAAATCAAAAATTGAAAAGATAAGAAAATTTTGAAAACATTTAGAAAGATTGGTTTGGAAAAATTTTAAGAATTCAATAGGAATCAACAAGATAACACAACAAAAGTAACGACAACCAATAAAAATAATTAGAAGCAATTTTTTTGTTGAGAAATTCTTTTTTAGAGGTTTCAAAGTTTAGAATTTTTAAGGCATTATGCTCAATTTTGCTTTGGACGATGACACAAAATAGTGGTGTTGATGTTGATTTCTAGGTATTGATGATTTTTTGTGTTTTGGATTTTTTGGATAAATTATTTTTTATGATTATTAAATTTTTTATCATCGATTTCTAAAATCTCATTGAAATATAAATTTGTTAAAAATGACTTGTAGAGAGAAATAAAAGGCAAACAAGGATGAGAGAGAGGAGAAAAGAGGGAAATTAAAAAATTGATTTTTTGTTTTTATAACAAGTTGAAATGACACTATTTTAAAAGATGGGATTGATGCAACTAGTGTGTTGATTCATGCATTGACTCTGCTACGGGTCAACCTATTTGCATTAAAAACTTTTATGTTTTTTTATTTTTTTTTACTTAGTTTAAGTCAAATTTGAAATTCGATAATTAATCCATATATAAAGACCAAATTTGAACATACATTAAGGTGAAAGAACTAATTCTATAATTTAATTAAAGTACAGAGATAAGCCATACAATTTGAAAAAAATTAATGTAGAAAATGCTAGTGTGACAAAAAATTTTGTCAAATCATTATTTTTATCACGTGGATTTGACACATAAACAAAATCAACAATCGCATAAGCAAAAAATGTCATATCATCAATTTTAATAAAAAAATTTGATCTTATAATAGTTTGACTAAATTTAATGATTTATTAAAAATAGAAATTTAATTTGAATATATTAAGATAGAATGATTAATTTCACTAATTGACTAAAGTACAAGGATCAATTGTACAATTTGACTTATCTAATTCGCTACTAATGTATAAAATCTATATAACGATAGTATAATTTATAGGTAAATTTAGTTTGACTCATTTGGTTAGTTATGATTTTAGGTTTTGTAAAATCTATAACAATAACATTGATCATAGCCTTATATTGTGTTTAAATTTTTAAAAGACAACAATTAAGCCACCAGATTATATTATATCTGTGATGGAAAACTGTAAATTCCATCACAAAATGTTTTCAACACCAATAACCCCTCACCAATACTCCCATCACCTATCTTCAAAATCGTCGAATTTGATACCAACTTCATTGTAACCAAAAGAGAGTTGTATACTATACTAGCCTCATTTTTTAATATGACTAGTTTGTTAGAAAGCGGAAGTTTCAATTTAATCCTTCTATTACCTTAATTTAACGCAATTTTAGTCCTTTTATCTCAGTTTTAATGAATTTAAACAATGCATTTTTATTAAAAATCTATTTAAGTATAATTGATAATAATGTTAAGATTTTAGTTTTAATTTGGATGACATGGCATATTGGTGATAACTCAACACATGAAGATGGATTAATTTTTGGATTATGTAACACATGACAATAAAAAGAAAACATCATGTCTTTTTTATTTTAATTAAATATTATTATTTTTTAAATTTAAAAAAATAATATTTTTCATTAAAAAATAGTTTTTTGTATTAATTTGTGCCACGTACAAAATTTCAAGTTGACATCTCATTTCATCAAAAAACAAAAAAAAAGCCACATAGTCAAGGTAGAGATAAGGAAGTGCAAGTGTTACAGGCCAAAATTTAAACTTCAAGCTCGTGCTATTCTAGGACATGGGGATAGCCTTTTCTATATCCCAGATCAGTCTATCACGGTTCACACTAACTTGTGAGGTATTGTCCACTTTAGCTTTCCCTTGATCTTATGATTTTGTCCTAAAAAATATTTCACAAGTTGAATGTGATGTGAACCCTTATATTTCAAGATCAATTCTAATACACAACTGATATAGGATTCATAACTCATTTCTACGATCGTGACACAGGTAGGGGCCACGGCATTTTTATTGTTTAAGCCAAATTAAAATAATGAAGGGATCAAATTCAACTTTGACCTCATTAAAATAACTTTCTACTTGTTAACTAATTATTAACTTAGTAATTCTATAACAACCAATGCTGGAAATATTAGTTGTTGCGCCTCCTTAAGAAGAATAAAGTTTGAGGTCCAAATCCCTCCCCCAAACCACATCATTTGTACCAAAAAAAAAATACTAATGTGTTTAATTAAACACATAATCCCACAAGCTCCAACTAGACAATTATTACTAATTATACAAGTTTTATTTTGGTATTGATGCCAAAAATAATTAAAAACAAAATCTAACTTGCCATTAATTTGCTAATGCTAAAGTGTTTTACCAAAAAAAGATAACTAGTTCGATAATTATATGATAGTATTAGACTTTTAATTTTAATTATCAAAATTAAATCTTGATAATTTTGAATACTAAAAAAGAGATAATGGGCTCCGATTAGGCAATTAGCACTAACTAACAAGCTTTTTGTATTAGTTTATTTTGGTACTAAAAGTAATTTTGACCTACGTTTAATTAAATAAAAACTCTTATTTCATCTAAAATATTTTTTTTTATTTTAATAATTTTAGCTATTAGTTTTTTTTTTTTTAAATTCTTTGAAACAGCAACAACTCTCATCTTATTTCTCTTTTAAGTCGGCTGGTAAAAAGGATGGAGAGAAGAAATATAAAAGCAAAAGTTCTATGATTTTATGATGTAATAGTTAATTATTCAATTGATTATATAAATGTTATATTTTATTATAATTGTAATTTCTAAAAAGGAAATCTAAGAGAGATTTTTTAAATAAAACTTATATTTTCAAATAAAAAAATTAAAGATTTAAAAGATTTTATTTCATTAACTTAATTATGTTAAAATTAAATTCACAAAAAATATATGTTTTACAAAAAATTATCTAATCCGTTGTTATTGGAGTTTATAAATGATTCAATTAAATTGTTCTTATTTTTATTTATTTTTTTAAGTTACAATCATAATCAAGTATTACATCCATATAATTAATAAATAATTAATTATGATTTTTATTTATTATATTTTTAAGTTACAATTATAATAATAAATAACCACTTGAATAATCAACTATTAAATTATAATCAAATTATAATTATTAAATAATAAAACTCACGTATAATGTGACTTGAACTTATGATTTCAGAGTTTTAAAACCTCTTCCTTATCACTAAGCTAATGCTTAATTATTTTATTTTTTTTAAATGCTAGATAAGATATAACATGAATTATTTTTTTTATCATTCAAGGAGGTAGAGTCTTATATTAAGGGAAAATAGGATATTTTCTTTAAAGTTATCTTAGTCACTAAATCAAATAACTAAAGATAATATAACATGAATTATGTAAGTTATTAAAAGTCTTTCAATTATTATCATATGTTAAAATTTTTATTTGCATGCATATTAATATTTATTTAAACTAACTGTTTATTTTAAGAAAAATTCATTTTATTTTTTAAAAAATATTTGTTTAAATTCATAAAATTTTAATGTCAATGTTTAAGTAATTCGTTAACGAAATGAATTAAAAAAAAAATCGTTAACGAAATGAAAATAACAAACTACATCACCATCACTACTAGTATGAAAGTGACAATTTCAGTCGCTTTTCACATTAAAACCAATGTAGCGTTTTCTTAATTTTCTGAAAGAACCACCAAAAGTCTCGAGTTTGAAAAGTTTGGTTGAGGAATCTGAAACCTCTTTTTGACCAATTGTCTCCCATAACGATATGATGATGCAATCATTCACATGTTTTGTCACCAATTTTTTATTATAACTTCAAAATCTAATCACTTTCTTCACCTTTAGGCCTACGTTTTTCCACTTTTACCCCTCATTTTTTTGAAGATTTATTAATAATAAAAACCAAAATTAAAAATTAATCTAATCCTTCGATAAAAACCCCAGTCCCAGCCCAATTCCGGAAAAGGATTTTCGTTAAGATAAAAAGACTCAGAATACTAACCGACAACCAAAACGGTGTTGTTTTGAGTCTTAAAAAGAAACCCAACCGAAACCGTCTATTTAAAACCAACCATAAGCAGTCCTAGCGTTTCCTGGTAGTTTTTTGATCGCTGCATTTATTTTGATTTTTCTTTAAATTCTTTTATTTGTTTAAAGACACAAAAGAAAAAAAAAAGAAAGAACGAGAGAGAGAGAGAGAGAGAGAGAGGAGGAGGAGAGATGGGTTTCATTGTAGAAGGAGAAGAAGGCAAGGACGTCGTAATGGAACCGCCTCCTAATTTTTCGATGGTGGAAGAAGGCATTTACAGATCTAGTTTCCCTCATCCCTGCAATTTCGCCTTCTTAGAAACTCTAAATCTTCGCTCCATCATGTCAGTTTTTTTTTCTCTATTTCTCACTTTGTTTTTGTTTTTAACCTTTTTTTATATAAAAAAATTCCATTGCCGTTTTATTGCATTAGTAAAGCGAGTTTTGTTTAGGTCGCATTGATAATGGTTTTTTTTTTTTCTATTAATTTTCACATTTTGGAGGTGTAATTTTCGTTCTCAATGCCATCGATTTTCTGAACAATTAAGAAAATTTTTTAAAAAGTAAATCCTTAGTTTTCTCTCTTTCTCGCTTTTCCTTTTTTCCTGTTTGGTTACTGAGAAAATTAAGAGAGAAAAGGAAGAAAGAAAGACAGGTTGAAAGGATTAAATTGTTAATTTTGACATGCATGTTATATTTTGTGTTCTTAAAAATAGAAAAAAATTAATTTTTGACGAGTGACTACTGAATATGCCTTTTTAAAGTTGGAAAAATAACTTTCTTTCTTTCTTTCTTTTTTTTTTTTTTTTTTAATTTGTGCAGATATTTGTGTCCAGAGCCCTATCCTGAGGAAAATTTGGAGTTTCTTCGATCTCATAATATCAGGCTTTTCCAGTTCGGGATTGAAGGGAAAACGGTATTTTTCCCTACGCTTTCTTCTCTGCTTTTACAGCAATTTGCAGAGCTTTTCATATGTTGATCAATGTTACTATATACTTCCTAAAATTTCATGAGATTTTTGGATTATTGATTGCTGAAGGATTTAGGTTCAGAGTCGGACTTCCAATATATTGAAATTTGGTGAAGAAAATAATAGTTTTGTTCTTGCCTTCTTGGATAGCAATTTCAGCAACCTACTGTTTAGAATGTTGAATGTGCACTATGGATAACTCATAAATGATTCAGGAAAATCAGTTGTATCTTATCTTAATATCAAAGACAATTTATTGTTAAGTGGGGATATGATATTTCTATGGTCAATTGTACTTTCAATTCCCAACCGCTGATTTGGCTTTTCTTTTGGCTTTTATTGTTGTTCACCATCATTTGTATTTGCAGGAGCCTTCTGCTGCTACTCTCAAGGATGCCATCAGGGCGGCTCTTAAGATCTTGATTGGTACTGAATTCATAAACATTTTTTTTTTCCTTACCAGCATGTTTTACCTTTACGGTTTTCTAAGATATTTTTATTGTTTGTTTACAGATGTGAGAAATCATCCAGTTTTGATCCATTGCAAACGGGGAAAGGTAATTATCCAAATTCAGCTATTACTTGTGCTTCCTTCCCTGTGTAAAAGTTAGCTTAGCTTGTCGAACTGAATTTATAAATGACTAGTTGCTTGTTATTATGTATGGTACATTTACGTGGTCAGGCATAAGTTTCGTTTAAAGGTTTAGGTTAGCTGGTACTAAACTCCTATAATTGATCAATTTGCATGAATTGTATGGCCTTTAAGTTTAATTAAATGGAAGCTATATGGAAACAACTTTATGGCTTTTAGGTGCAGTGTTTTGGTTGGTTTGTTGTTAAAACTTATTTGGCACTTAGTTTTTTGTGAATTAGTATTTTATTGGGTTTATTGCTGAAATTTTGTTCTATTTTTTGAGACATCGTGAGGATTGACTTCATTTATTAACATTGTGATTTGATTTTTTTTTTTTTTATTTATAGCAGTTCTAACCTTTGTGTTTTTACTTCATACAGCATCGCACAGGTAGCCTTGTTGGTTGCTTGAGGAAATTGCAGAATTGGTGCTTGTCATCTGTTTTTGAGGAGTATCAGCATTTTGCTGGCATCAAGTCCAGGACTGCAGATTTGAGATTTATAGAAACATTTGAGATCATATGCCTCAGGCTGTGTCTTCACAGCATCATTTATCAGTACCAAGGATACGGATCGAAAAAGAGGCGATTGCTTTACAGAGAAGAGACTGCACAGAAGCCTCAAATAACTTCAATTTAAACGATCCACACGTTGGCTTTACTCCGGTTCGATGTTACAGATAGGTTTTGTTCAAATTGGTTTTTTTCTTCACTTTTTTAGATTTGCCCTTATACAGTTTTTAAAAACCATTGTGTAAAGTACCTTCGTTTTTTGTGTGTACTTTTCCCTTTGGAATTTAGTTAATATACATAGGAGGAGAAGCATTTTTGCAAATCCCAAGTGACATTTCTAGGTTCTGAAGTTCTGTTTTGCCATAAGCACAAGTTGCGGTTATTGAAATTTTTACAGGGTATGATCAATGAAGAAATTGGTCTCCCTTTCTCAATGCAAGAATGTATTTCAGTCTCTAGGTGACTACATCAATATTTAAGTTTGCATGAATTTGCCAACTGATATCTGGGGAAAACTTTCTAATGTCTATGTCCTCTAAAGGAAGGAAATGAAATAATCCAATCACTCTATATAATGAGATCAGTAGCCTGCACCCAAATCTCATAGTTAAATCTTTAGTAAAACAATATCCAATTTCATATTTGTTAAAAGAATTGCAAATTGGCAAGAATAAGAAAACATGACAAAATTACATTAAATATGCAATTTGCTTAACTACTTCCATATATCTGAAAACTGATATGATTGTGGATTTAAAAGGCCAAGATCCCTTCTCTCACGAGAATAAAAGTTTGTAGTTAAGACGAAAGTGAAAACAGAGCATAGACTGGAAGGCAAGATCTTCAGCAAAGTTTCAGTCAAAGGCATAAAAAATCCAGACGTAAAAGGGAAAGCATGAAAAATTACTAAGAAATAACCCCTCCTGACCACTATCGGAACACAACATCAAAGTTACAGAACAAGATCGAGCACATTCTAACATCAAACAAAATTACAACAAACTCATATCATATGTAACCAATGTAGAACACAGTAAGCTCATCGAAATGAAGCTTTCATCTACCATTAGCAGCAGCATAATTAACTCCTGGAATGAATGACATCTGCATCAAAGATAACTCTCGGAACTTTAGTACAACAGTAACAACACTTGATCAAGTACAAAGCATTTTAGTACTCAATTACGAATTCTAACCTAACTTAATCAATAACATAACATTCATAACTCCAATTCCAATTGCATTAAAATGAACAGTGTAAACAGCAATTAGATGGATTTGTTCAGCATATGCATCTGATGATAAGTTAACAAATCTTGGAAATAATGGAGCCTTTATAAGGCAAGTACATAAATAATTTACTGCAACACAGGTAATCAAAGAAACTAAATATTTCCTTAACACTAACATAAATTCCTTTTTTGGCCCTCCTAATCCCATGTAACTACCAAACTTAAGCTCTTCCTACTTGGTAAATCATCTTAACATTCTCAAACTAAAAGATCCAAGCATTTCAACATGCACAGTTCTCATTCTTAAGCATAGCTTCAGAAATTAAACCTACTTGCTATAAGGCAACACATAATCAACCTGGTATCAGTTGGCAATCATAAGAATTTGTTCTTCTAGGCTACCAAACGTCTCTAAAAGAAATTACAGTCCATCAAAGTTAACAAAGCAATCACATTTAAATGTTTGCAAGAAACAAGTTCTTAAACTATCAATACAAACTCATACATTAAAAACAAGCATATACTAATACAAGAACAGAATCATCATCAAGAAGGGTTGATATACACCGTCATCGTCATACATAATCAAAGTAGGACTTCGAAAACAATCCAATCTTTTTTCACCCAAACCCCCTTTCTCTTTCTCATCTCCATTACTACTACCATAACAAACAATTAAAAGGAAAAAGGAAAGAAGAATCAAACCCAGATCCCAAGATATCTGCAAAACACCAAATGTTAACCTAAACATTTTTTTTCACTTTTTAAAGCTGCCTCTAACACCAGGACGAGGTTTGGAAGATTCAGCCACATAACCAGCATGAAGATTCACAAGCTTTGACTCTTCAAAGGGAATCTTCGGATGTTTAGCATCATGATGAATCTGCATCGACTTCAAATCTGGAGCCGTAGTTTTGCAATGAGGACACTCAAACTTGGCATGTCCACCCTTGTCCCTCGCCGTACGGTCAACTAATCCGGCCTTGCCACCTCCTCGGTTGGTTGTGGCCGCGTCGATCTTGACCGCGACTTCCTTGGCCGTGTGCTTTTTGGGCTTGGCTTTGCCTGTCATGATTGATTGATGACAGAGATAAAGAGGGAAAAAAAAAAAAAAACAGAAACCCTAGGTGATGGAGCTTTTCTTCTTTTTTTCTCTTTTGGGGTTATGTTAAAATTATTTGGGAATGGAAGCGGGAGATGAAACGTGTGGGAATTTATAGGCTTATCTATGAAGTGGGCGTGAGCGTGTGGACTAGCAAGTGCCGTAGGTTTGATTTAGTGGATGCAAGATTTAAATCTTTTAAATGAGCTGGAATGCTTTTATCACTAAGGTGTTTTGGAGCTGACCATCCGTGGGATGATTGATTAACCGGGTTAGTGTTGGGTTTAAAGGATTTGCATTTTATCTTATATGTTTATGGAGTTTTTACAAATATATTTTTAAATATAAATATATTAGATTTAATTAATTTAAAATAAAATTTTAGTTTATTAAATAAAAACTTATTTATTAAATATATATATATATAAAATATAGATACAAGTATGGGATAGATTTTTATTATTCATCTCGTCTTCATCCCGTACTTGTACCTTATAAAAAATTTAAAAACATACATATTTTATTTTATTTTTAAAATTTAAAATTTATTTCATTTGGATAAAAAGTCAAAATTTTTATTTGAATAATATTAATATACTTAAATTTATTTGATTTGAAAATTTGATGTTGAAAATTTAATTGGAGTTTGATTGATTTTTATTTTTATTTTACTTTAGCTTTGTTTGTAATTTACTCAAACAACTTGAGTTTAATTCAATATATTCAATTAAATTTTATAAAATTATAAATATAAATATAAATATAAATATTTTATTTTATTATTTAAAAATATATATTTAAAAAATAATAACTATTAAGCTTATGATCATCTCAAGTCGAATATTTAATATTCGACCTTAATTCAACTCATTATCCAAATAGCTTGAGTTTAACATAATTATAAGCAAGTAAGCTCAATAATTTATAAGGAACTTGATTTATTTACACCCTTATTTGTAACTAACGAGTTAGGATTAAGATTTTGGATTTGGAGTTAGAGGGATAAAATAGGGTGGGTCAAGTAAAAAGTGATTTGCATAATTTTGAATTTAGATATAAATTATTATTATTATTATTATTTATGAAGTTACAATAATAAAAGAAATCAAAACTATAATTAATTATTACATTTATATAAAATTTATTATAATTAAATCAAATAAAATAATTAACCAACAAATAACATAGAATTAAATAAATCCAACATAAAATTGTATCAAATTCGCATATAAAAAAATTTGAATTTGAAATCTTAAAATTTCAAGATCTCCTTTTAAATAATTTGGCCATCGAACTTGATATATAATTTTTTTATTTGAGTTATTTTAAAATATAATAATGCTATTTTCAATGGCGACTTAAAAATTTGTAAATTTTATGTTCAAATTTTATCGTTTTTAATTTTATTTAAATTTTGTATTGATTAATTAGATTATTTAATTTATATTTCCTCTTTAATAGTTATATCGAACCTGATATAACCTATCAATCATCTTTTTTGAATTTTGTTTAATGTTATATATTTATTAGTTTCCTCTTTAATAGTTATATCATGTGCATCGGATTCGTATCACACAATCGCATCAATAAATTCATCATATCTAAATAAATACTATATTTATGTATGAATTTTTACGATATTAAATTTTATTTAATTTGAGATTAAAAATGAACGTAATCGAACTTTTCTTTTATATGTCTTTCATTATTCGGGATCCTATTCATTTTTTTCTCTTTTATTGAATCGAAAAATTTTAATATAATCTAAATATATAGAAAACATCCTTCAGATACTTCAAATTGAAGCTATTCAATATCCGACTCGAGCCTATATGACATGACCGATCAATAGAAATACTCCAACACTCCACCTTTGTCATATATTCCATACATCACACTAGATAGATATCATATTCCTGGAATACGATTCATTCAAGATGCCTTGGTGGTGAAATGGTAGACACGCGAGACTCAAAATCTCGTGCTAAAAGCGTGGAGGTTCGAGTCCTCTTCAAGACATATGTTGAGGATGCTTATTGAATTTGAGCAAGTTCGGCAACGAATCTTGGTGATCTTCCCCTAGTATATGCTTAATCATGCACACAAATCAATGGTTCTCTCATAATATTTATTTATCAATTTGTGAAGTCAAAATATGGAATTCATTTGCTTTCAGTCCTAATCATATGATTTGAGATTAATTACGAAAAACCATTAATAAACTTTTCTCAAATGCGCACTTCAACTACTATAGTTTTATTTTATTCAATTAAGTCATTTGAACCTTTATTGTAATAATGTAATTAACTCCAATTACTAAAAATGAAAGGAAAAATTGGTTAACCTACATTGCCATCAGCATCTTTTTTTGCTTGCCAAAAAGTCCCCGTAGCAAGAGAGCATTTGCTCTCTTTTACCAGGTCAAGAATGGCGGTATGCAAAAGATATAGCCAACCCCATAACCGCTAAAAAACTGGATAGAAAATGCCTACATAAATACGCAAATCATGCTAGCAAATCCTTAAAATACGCACACAGCTTGATCCTAATCTTTAGAAGCTTCAGTAAGATATTTAAATAATAAAACATTAAGAAACAATTTTTCATACTCATGCACAAAGCACAAGATACAACCAATTTCTAAACTGTAATGTTAATTTTCTATGTATAAAATTGAAAATCATAAAAGGATTATGTATATATATTTGTTAGAAATTTGTGTTAGAAACAACATAGATATGAAGGTTCTATATCTGATAATTCAACGACATAGCAAGAGAAAAACCTTTGATTCTGAAGAAACTCAAGTAGAATCTAATATCTTACAAACTCTGCTAAGAAGCAAATAAATGTGATCTAGGATGGAAAATTCCCATTGGCCTGATGATGATGAACTTGCATGGTCAGCAATGGGAAGGCAAGGATTATAAAGGTTATCATTCTTTAGCTTCGGTTTATGATGTGATAAAATAACTTCAAACAATATTTATATGAAATATGCCATGCAGCAAAAAAAAAAAATCAAATTATCCCTCTCTTGTATAAATTTAGTAGGAATCAAATAAATAGAGCTAACAAATAAATCACCAAACTATAAGCATAAAGACATAAGCAATTTATGTGAAAAACCTCCTAAAACGAGAAGTAAAAATCACCGATAACAACAAATAATTTCTACTATCAAAATAATGGGAATACAAAGTTCTCTCTAGCTAGAATTAGAGATATATAATTATAATATCTCAAGATTAAACAATCTTGGTAAAATAAAAATCTTATAAGAGAAAATTGGAAAAGTTTTAGCAAATTTAAGAATTAATAAATACTCACAAAATCAGTAGGTAAAAAACTCGAAACCCTCCACCATACAGATTGAAGAACAATGAGTCATAAAAACAATGATAAAATTTTAGCTTAATCGGACAACGGATTGATCTCAATCAAACTACTTAACTGAACTACATGAAACCTCTTTTTCTCTTTTTTTTTCTCTATTTTGCCGCTACACTCTCTTATTTCTTTTTTCAGCCATATAAGGGTTTAAAACTCTATAACCAAGCATGAAAGGACTAAAAAGTCCTTGGTGAATGGGCTTTAGTCTTAGGTTACCTTCACATTTAGGAAACTAAGCCCAACAAATCTTCCCTTTTCCAACTATGTGGAGGAAATCGTCATCCCGGCAATCAAACTACAAATTTCAAGCTTTTCTTTTGGTAATATCTTTGTTAACATATTAAAACCATTGTGATCAGTGTGAATCTTCTCAAGTTCAAATAAGTTATCATTGAGAGCATCTCTTAACCAATGGTACCTCATATCAATGTGTTTTGATCTTGAATGAAAAGTAAAATTCTTGCCAAAGTGAATTGCGCTTTGATTGTCACAAAATATTACATAGCATTGCTATTTGAAATCGAGTTCTTGTATAAAATTTTTCATCTACAACAACTCCTTACATGTTTCAGTGGTTGCAATATACTCAGCTTCTATTATAGAAAGTGCAATGTATCTCTGTAGTCTCTATTGTCAAGATATAGCCCTACCTGAGAATGTAATCAAATAATCCAAAGTAGACTTTAGGGAATCAACATCTCCTACCATATCTGAATTAGTATAGCCAACTAGCATTGGTTTCTCATTTCCAATAGTGAGTCTCAAGTTGGAAGTGCCTCGTAGATATCTCATGATCCACTTAACTATATTCCAATGCTCTTTTCCTAGATTTGATAAAAAGTAGCCAACAACACCAACTGTATGTGTTATGTCTGGCCTAGTACACACCAAACTTCCTACTGTTGAAGCATGCGAAACTCTTCTTATGTTTTTTTTCTCTTTAGTTATAGAAAGTCTTTAATTAATACTTAGCTTAAAATGTGTAACAAGATGAGAGCTAACCACTTTAGATTGATCCATATTGAACCTTTTAAGTACTTTTTCAATATAGTGCTTATGTGACATGTGCAATTTCTTGGCTACTTTGTCTCGATAGTTTTAAATTCCAAGAATTTACTGTGTTGGCCCCAAGTTCTTCGTAGCAAAAAATCTACTCAATTGTTTCTTCAACTAGTCAATTTTAGAAGCATTCTTACTAACAACCAATATGTCATCAATATAAAGCAATAATATGATAAAATCATCATCAAAAAATTTTTACACAAACACACAATCATCAAAAGTAGTTTTTCGATAAGTTTAAACCTGTTTTTTAATCAAAGTAGCTGTTTGTTAAGTGTGAAGTTTTTTTTTTTTTTTTTGGCTTTTTGACATTAAAGAATTTGTTCATTGTTGGCATAAACCAACCATGCCTTCCGTCTTTTTTCTCACTTTCTTTTTTCATTATTCCTTTATTTAACCAACAAGTCAGTATTATTTCTTTATATCCCTTCCAAATTTTCTCAAATCAAACATTTTTTATTTTGAAGAGCTTTATATATACGTGTTGCATTTATCTCATATTGATATTCTAACAAAGTCATTTTAATTCGAATTCAATTTTACATGTCTGAAACTGTTTGTGTTATTCTATTAGCCTTATTTAATCTAGGCTTGTCTCTGTAACTGTCATCTATAAAAAATTCTAACAGGATAAAATTTTGATGAATGGTGTGAATCACTCTCTTTGTTTTTAGGCAAAATGAATTTTGAGA